GAAGGAAGAAAACAACTAAGGACAAGTGTGGTATAGGGCTTGACAAGACTTTGCTGTGGTAACCCATGATAGTTCAGTTCCCTCATCCAAGTATGTGCCATCCCAAGCACAGCTTATCTTGTTGTCGTGGTAACCTGGGGTCCCTTACTTCTTCCCATCTACATATGCAGCGTCCCAAGCATGTTTTATCCTGTGAGAGTAATCCAGGACAGCTCGCTTCCTCCATCATCTGCACTCAACTTTGCACAGGTACCAGTATAGTGGACAGATGCCAATCTTGGAATTCAGACAACAGCAGTGAGATCACAAACAAAGCAGGACTTTGCACATATAAGTAAGGCAAAGCAGTTAAGCAGTGCAGCTTTTATTATCCAGCCCTGCAGTGCTATCCTTTGAGCTATACTCCCAAGCAGTTCCACTCATCCTCCCATTTGATTAGCGTTGGTGTACTGGGGCTTCCACCATGGTAATGCTATCCTTTCATCAAAGCCAAAGCTTYCAGTTTCTGAGTGTTGTGCCTTGTCTCTGAGAGACTGGCATCACCTTTTTGCCTGTAATACAAGTAGGATGTAATTGTATCCTCAGTCTGTAGGATGCTGCTTGCATGCTATATGGTTGGTTGGCCAAATTACACAACACTCATTTACTACATGCTGGCTCTCTGGTGGAAATGCATTTCAAAAMTTGTGGTGACTCCCTTTCAACACTACTCTATGATGATCCGTCTGCTGAACAAACTTTGGAATGTTGTAATTTCGTATAATTTTTTAAAATTTTATTCCTGCAGGAGGCTGATTAGAATATTTAGCTGTTTTCCCAGTGTGGCAACTCCTGATTGTACTGAAAACATGGAGAAATCAACTTGATCAAGATTTAGCATTCTGTATATAAACACCTGCATTATACATATTTTGTGAAATACACACTAGCATGACATCCTCTGTCACAACTCTGGACTTTCTCTACAACATAAATAAGTCTTCAAGTCTTGCAGTTATCTCCGTCTCCTACATACTTTGAGTCACTTGTGATGCTTGGAAAGGTAATGACATCAAACTCCAGGATTACTCTGCTAAACCAAATCTTTCAAAACCAGTGCAAACATATATGGTTTCCCAACCTTTTAACCTTTTAATTTCCTATTCAGAAAACAAAGTAAGCATGTGCAACAGTGTAAGAGCATTGGTGATATAGTAAAGAAGCTATTTTCTGCCTGGAGAAACAGTTATTCTTTCACTTAAGCAGGCAAAAAAAACCCTGATGTTGCTGTGTTTTTTCCTATATACAAATACAGAACCAAATTTCATTTGGGTTTGCTAAAWATCTTCCGTTTTGTTTACTGTGGCRCCCAGGAATGTGGCAAACTGAWATRTTCCCTCACAACAGACTATGACAGTATGCTAAAAAGTAGTTGCTGTCTTAAACATTTCCAACATCAAATAATTCTTATTCATGCTGAATGGGTGCCATTCTTATACCACTTTTCCTAGGCCCAGTAATGTTCCAGCTATCACCTGTTATTGAAAGCATCCTTATGCATGAGACAAGCAGCATTCTGCAAGGACATTCATTCATTCATTCATTCATTCACATTTACAAATTTACAAAGTTTTCATCACACAGCAATGACAATTCCATGTAACAACCTTGACAGCTATTTTTCATGGATGTCTCTTTTTTCTTTCAGTAGGCGATGACTGCATTTTATGAAGAGAGTACATTACACTTTGTGTTCCCATTATGCAAGCTGACTCCTGCCTGTCCTGTTGTGAATAGAGAATGAGTGATGAAAATTTCTCCTTATTTTCCAGTTAGTTGCCTGAAACTGGTGCTTATCMTACCGTCTCAAGAAGGAAGGAATTCAACAGCTCACTGGCAATTTTGTGGGGTTTGACAATCCCTTTGATCCTCTTGAGCAGAGGAGGATGCTCCTGTGCTCTTCTGAATATAGAAGTACCTCAGAGAATGTGCCAAGTACAGGCTATCCTAAATTAAATTTCTTAGTTACAGACTATAGGCAGGTAGAAGCCTATAATARCAAATTTTGATGTTTAGTTTTATACCTTCATCCACAGATGGTGTGAAAGGTCCAGTCACTTAAAAGATTTTCAAGATTCTTTGTACCAGTGACCCTAAAAACCTAATTATTAGAAAGTTTCTGCCTAATACAGGAATATTTTCTATATTTTTTGAATGGAAATTTAGAAATATATGCTGACATTAACTAAATGTTACATTGTATAATTCTTTAACTTGGTCCTTAAGAACCTGATGAAGGTAAAGAAGGTGGTGACATATTGGCGAAGGAACGGGTGATTTGGGGATACCTTTAGACTAGCTCAGATCCAGACAGAGAAATGGCAGCATCACCTCATTTCTGTGGCTGCATCTGGAGTGCAGCCAGATGCTGCACTCAAATTTTCAATATGTGTTCATCATATTTTCTTCCAGATGTACCTCATTTCTTTCCTTCTTTTTTGCTACTGCTTGTATTTTCTCCTTTTTCCATAAGGCTAGGGGCAAATGTAGTTCGAAAGTACTGTACTGTGATTTCTCTGTCACTCTTGTAGAAGAAAGAGAGGAACTGTTAGAAATGAACAATTTGAAGTCCAAGATTAGTGGACAGATGTCATTGTTGTTGTTGTCAGGCATGCCATTACAGTATGTCTCATGGCATTATCTGCCTTGAAAGGCAAACTTGAATTTCTTTTTCACATCATTTGGGAAAGTGTCCTTTGGGCCAGCCTGGTCCACCACTGTGCAAAAGGAGATGCTAATTAAATAGTAAAGTACTGTATATCTTCTTAGTAGATCAAGGGTTTCTGCTCACCTTTCTTCACGATATGGGCTTTATGAGGAAGTGTCAAGGTCAGTACCAAGTGTCTGGGTCGGTGCCTCAAGCATACATTCGGAACATGCTGGCCTTGTGCATCATGTTCCCTTTCTGGCACAGTTTGTACCAATTAAGAGAGTGGACCAAAATCAAAGTGCTGCTTTTCATAGGAAGACTCATTTGCCACTGTAATTTGCTGGTGAGTTTTCTTCTTTAGCTGAAGTGCCTCCTTTAGTCACTTTTGATTCTGCAGTTTCAATGGAGCCCTTGAAGTGTTCTGATTATAAGGGTGATGTATATGCAGTGATTAAGTGTTATTTTCAAGGGATTAGCACCAAAAATAGTTTTGCAAAAACACACCCATTAGAGTGCTTCCACTTCAGCACAAAAGGAAAAGTTAGGTAAGCATTTGTATCTAGACAACTCAGGCAAATTTCTTCCTAGCTGGAAATCAGATTAGTGAGTTTTAGATACTATAAAATATATTAAACCCTCTCCTTTTATTTTAGACATAAATCAATATGTACATTTCTGTATTTAGTGAGGAGTTAACAGGCAGATTTTTCATATTTTTGAGCTAGGCCTTCTGCTTTCTTCCCAAATTTCTAGGGCCATTTGTACTTACTGATAGGCCAAGTAAGCTGAGGTACCTGGTGGTATGGCTRTGTTTGTCAGTCCCCCTGGTTCTACTTGGATTGATCAAATTCATTTCTTAGTCACTGAAATTAGCTTAAAGTGTTTCTGGGGTTTCATCAGTAAGCCTTTGAGTTTAGCCAGTGGTGYGTTCCATCTGAGTATTTCAAAGCACTAAAAATTACTAGGACAGTGTTCTGACTATTTACCTGATATATATATAGACAGAAACATACATCTCAGGTGATCAGACCCTCCAATCTAAAATTACAGCTATCTGGAGTAACTTGGCTTTGCCCAGGTCCTGGTCTTGTATTCCACAGTATGTATGTTTTACTAATATCCTGTATGTAAGAGGTATGTGTATTTTAAGTGTTACTACAAATATGCTATGTCACTCCTCTCCTCTCCTCTCCTCTCCTCTCCTCTCCTCTCCTCTCCTCTCCTCTCCTCTCCTCT